ACATGCCCATCCCTGAATCATTAACCATGTAGGGGATCAAAAGACAGGCCATTGTCACTTATCATTACTGATCCCTTGGAAGGGAATCAGAATCATTCAAATTACATGAAGTTGTGTCGGGGTTAAGAGTGTCTCGTGGAAAGTTAAGATGCTATTTTTAGAAGAGAAAAAGATGAGGCTTTCTACTCCCATAAAATTACAGTCTCAGAAACCCCCAGGAGCAGTTTTGCCTGTCTTCTAGGGCTGCCGTGAGTTAGCCTTACCTTGATGGCACGCTCACACTCCAGTCACCAGAAGATGAGGCAGAAGACAAAGAGTAATGACATCTGTTACAATCCTTCCCTTTGTGATTGTCTACAACAATCAAAATTCATGGAATGCATACATATTGAATACACACACTGATTCCCAGAACATGTGCCACATCATCATGAAGAGCAGAGCTGGGAGGGCGTGGCCACGAACGCAGTAGAAAGAGAATGACCCACGCTCTCTCTTTTCCAAAGAACAGCAATTTCCCCGCAGAAGTGAAAGACCTCACGAAACGTATCAGGACTGTTTTGATGGCTACAGCGCAGATGAAGGAGCATGAAAAAGACCCTGAGACGCTGGTGGATCTCCAGTACAGTCTGGCAAACTCCTACGCCAGCACCCCTGAGCTCCGGAGGACCTGGCTGGAGAGCATGGCCAAGATTCACGCGAGAAATGGAGACCTATCAGAGGTGATGAGCGAAGGCCCACTCCCCATGGGCCTTGTCCTTCCTAGAAGGACAGTGGATTTTCACTTTGGGCATGCGTTGTGAAACTTACTATACTTTCCACCGGGGTAGATACGGCCCGATAAAAATGTTATGTAGATGTAAGGGCGCCTGACTCCAAGTAAATCACATCAAATAAAGGGCCAGATTCCATGTGGCTCCATCAGCAGGTGTGAGAAATGAGTCCAGAACGAAACGTTATTAACCAGAGGGTTATTATAAAGGAGGCCGTAAGGGTGCAAAGGTGGCTGGTAGAGTTATATAAATTAATATTCTGTATCTTGAAAGTCTTCCCTGCAACTCAAATGGAGCAGGAGGGAAATGGCTAAAAGAGGAAACAGTGGAGCAGATGAGAATGTATTGAATGTATTGTGTAAGGGATACTGTCTCCATAATGGAAAACATTGGCCAGAGTTAGAGATGGATGTACCATCTGGTGAAAGTAATCAGTGTCACGGAATGATCCATGTACAGATACTTGAAATAGCATAGGTTTTGTTATATATATTTTGCCATACTCATCTTTTAAAATAATATTTGAACAGAGAAGGTTGCCACGCTGGTAAGTGAGCTCAGCCACGGGTGATCTGTCCTTCTTTGCAGCTTGTCCTCATGGTCTTGGGGAAAATGAGCACTTGTTAGGGTCACATGTGAAGAGCTCACGGTGTGATGATGACAAATCAATATGTTATGTTTTATGTTGGCTTCAATATTGAGTGGATTGATAGCCAGCATTTCATCAGAGCCGAGCAGCATCTGGGAGCCCTGGAGGTGTAGGGGTTGACACGTTGAGTTGCTAGCTGCCCCCACTCGCTGCTCTTCAGGAGGAAGATCAACCTCTCTGCCCCAGTAAAGATCTACCAGCTCAGAAACCTCATGGAGCAGATCCACACTGTGCTCCAGTCACTGTCGTTCAGTCAGAAGCAATCTCATGACAATGGGTCTGGGGTTTATTTAGCGGCTTCTGTGTACCAAGTGGGAGGTGTTTTACCCTCCTCTCATCAGCATGCCCCTCTTGCAAAGTGATTCATTTCGCAGGGCAGTCCTTTGGATATGTTCAGGAAAGACCAGTCCCTGGAAAAGGGCATCCCGCTTGGTAAAGCAGAGGGGCAGAGGGACAGAGGAAGGCCCTCGGCAAGATGGACACACACCGGGGCTGCCGCGATGGACTCTGGTCTAGGAACCGTGGTGAG